TATTTACGAGACGGCCTTCATATAATAATCAGATCAAAGGAACTTATGAAGGCCTCGTCGAAGTAAATAAAGTCCCAATACCAACCCTAATTATCTACGATAGTTCCCCTAATGAGCTAGAGTTGCAACATTACCTTTAAAAGAGACTGAGAAGTCCGGCGATGAGTACCAGCGACGGAGTTTCGTGGAGCCCACGGAGGGGGTTTGTTTACTTTAAATAGTGTGGTCGTTCGGGCCGAAATCAAGGACACTACACATCTTTATTTACGAGACGAGGCCTTCATATAATCAAGATCGAACATCACTTAGGTAAGTTCGTTTGATCTGATTATTATATATTTCTTATCTCTCTCATTTTTTAAATTCAGCAAATTTGTATACGTAATTTTCAGAATGGATAAGAAAAAGTGGATGCGCAACTAATTTCTAGCTTTGAATCTCAATTAAGTGTATTTGAGACAAGAACAGAATGTAATTATCAACAACACATACAACTTACAGCTTAGACCTCCAGTAATGCCATCTCAGAAGCAGATTTTACATAACATCAGAGCCAAAGATTGATAACAAGCCTCATGACGTTTAGGTAACACGTACAACTATGTGCTAAGTTAACATCTTGTAGAAAAACTTACATGTCAAAAAAAATCGGCACTTTTCAAGATACGTGATACCCGTGCGGAACACGCTTTTTTATAATGAGTCCCTCATAGTACCTCCTAAGGATCAAAATTTAACACATGGCATTCTGAAAACTGCTGGACTTTGAGTGTACCTCTGTTTCATGTGTGAGTTCTTGCTGTCTATTTTATTTGATATTCGGTTTTTAAGCACCTACTGCAACGTGCCAAAATCACATAACTTTTTTTTCTACTATTTTGATCACTTACCAGTCAGGCCCGGTTTTTCAATCGCAGGTTAACTACGACCTTGGTCTTAACGTATAGTTATTTATGAAAAAGCGTTTTTCAATATCATGTTTATAGTAAAACGGAAGTTAACATTAACCAGAAGATCATCTATGAGTTAACTAGAAAGGCTGTAGTTAAATAGCAACACCTGACGTTTTTGATATAAACTTTGATGTTTATTCAAAAAATCACAACAAATCCATATCAATCTATCGATTAATTTGAGCTATAAACATGTTTATGGTTTACGATGTGAATGCGTATAGCAGTGACGAAGACCCGAGAAGGCCAAAAATAATCCGCCATCGGCCGAATTACTTTGATGAATTTGATGACCTCGATTTCCTTGCAAGATTTCGTCTTACAAAAAGGCCTGTAGAAACTCTCCTGGACGAAGTCTATGAAGGAAGCAGGTAGATGCATATATTATTGTTTATTTCCATATTTTTCCATGACTTTGTCATTCCAGGAATAACTACTTAACGCCCCAACAGCAGCTGTTGTTAGCACTGCACAATGGAAGTTTTTTAACTGTTGCAGGAAATTTTGCTGGGGTTTCCAAAACAGTCCGAACATTCTTAAAAGTACTAACGAGTACAGGAAGAATCACATAAAAATGCTGGATACTCTTGAGGCTCTTGCCAGTGCAAAGCAATCCTTTTATAAATGATATAGCTAGGTTTCCTCAATGCATAGGTGCAATTGACTGCACGTATATAAAAATTGTTTCTCCCGGAGGAAGCCATGCAGAGCTCTTCAGAAATCGAACTGTTTCTGACGCAGATTCATACATTTTCGGAAATTCTCAACTCTGCAGACAATTTGAATCAGGTCACTTTGGAAACTCTTTGTTGGCTGGTGACAAAGGTTATCCTATTAAAAGCTATTTGATGACACCATTAAATACAACTACAACTCCTACTGCAGAACTATACAATGAATCTATCATTCGTAGTCGCAATGTTTTAGAGAGAAGCTATGGAGTTTAGAAAAGAAGATTTCCATGTCTAGCTATGGGTCTCAGAGTTCGTCTAGATACAGCTCAATCAGTTACTCTAGGAACAGCAGTGCTACATAATATTGCTTGTCCTAATAATGAAGCTATGCCCTTATTAGTCCTGAGCAGGAAAATGCTATTAACATGGTTTATGTAGATAACGTGAAGACAGATCCTGTAAATGTTAGGTTGACACAAAATGCAATCAACAATGTTAGAACTTACCATATTAATAATTATTTTGCAAATTTGTAAATCGATTCAATACATTCACTGATGCTCAGTTGTTTAGTATAAGATCTGTGATAATGGATAAGAGTTGTGGCCAAAATTGTTGGTTCCCAAAAAAGGCGCACACGGCATTTGAAAATAGATGTCCCAAGCCTCAAAATGGGCACTCAGTCGATCTTTTTAAACACCTAAAGTTTTCGCCATAGCTCTCATCTACTTGACATGAATTATCCCCTATTTATTGTAACTACAGAATGAAAATAAACATGATTTTCTGAAAACAGTTTATTATCCTCAAAAATGCGAAATACAAGAAACAATTAGTGCAAGTGAAAATCCAGAAATTAACAAAACAAATCGTTTGTTTTCTACTTATGGAATGCATTGATCTGTAAATCTAACAGCTGAACCTTTTTTTTATATATTTCCATTTTTTTATTGTGTTCTTCGATGAATTTTTCTTTTTGTAGTTTCAAAAAATTCAGCTTTTCTTCCATTAGTAGATAGTTAACAGAAATAAATTTTTTATTTTGCACCGCTTTCGTACATGATAGCTTTGTAGTTTTGGGCCTCTTCAGTTGTTGGGGAATATAGGAGCTCCATTTCCCATTATTGAAGACCACTTCACTGTCATCACAGTTATTTGCATAAGGAACTAAAAAATTAATAACTAAAAATATTTTTCAATCAACAGCAATGAGACTTACCATGTTCAGAAACCACCTCATCTTGGTCACTACACTCATCATCATAACTGTTTGTCAAACCTTCTAATTGTGGTGCCATTATATCTTGTATTTGTGTATCAATCAGATCGAATGCTTGCAATTGGCATGAACCTCCCCATGTCTTGATTATATTGGTTTTGTTTGTAACAAATTTGCTTTTTGTTTTTTCTTTAAATTGAGATATTTATCTCGTAGAGTTTTTGTCTCTCGGTGGCACCCTGTTAGGGCTTGGAATTCTTGTTCGATGCTCTGCGATACTGAACCTTTCTGTTTCCACGTAACTGTGCCACTTGTTTTGCTCTCTATTACATCTTTACTTTTGCTCACCAATGATATTAGCATCATTTCCTCATTCTTCGAGACATTTTGAGCTCTCTTTTTGATCTCTTTCTCAGTTTTTGAGAAGTTTTAGCAACAACATTGTGTATCCCCTTTATTTTTGGATTTTAGATTATAGGAGTGATATTAAAAAAGGTGGAAAATACGATATTCATCAGATATTTACAACTTAATCGTTTTTGGACCTTAATATGGTTCATTGCATTTGCAAACTCTTTTCTCACCATTTATATAATGCCGTCTATGGGGTCTACTACTAAACGTTTGTACGAGCAATGTTTGAAAAAACTTACCTTATTTGAAGGTTTTATGTTTTATTCGTTTTTAGTGAAATTTCCGGATGTCGATTTTGGCTGTTTTAAGAAATTTAATTCAATCGAACTGTCATGTATGACGTATGACACGGGACACAGATACCGAGCGCACAAAACACTTATAACACGATATCTAAGAACCGCACATACAGGGTTGTAACATAAATATATGTTGAACTTCTGATAAGTTAACTGACGCTGTCAAAATACTTGAAAAACGCATTTTCAAGTAACTACAAGTTAACTTCCTGGCGATAATTAACTAACCATAAAGTTAACTTGCGATTGAAAAACCGGGCCTCAGTTGAATTTCTCTTTATCAATAATAAATAGAGTACCGATTTTCACACATATATCTTTCTTTCTTAGCGAGTATTGTGACGAAATCTTTTAGACACTGATGTTGTAGTATTTTATTAATGATTTAGGTACTCGTTTTATCTCAGAAATTTCCTCATAAAACCTCGTTGGTCCTCTGTCAAGTTGGTTCTCCATAGGCAACCAGCCATGTTGTATGTAGGTAGGTTCGGGTGCGCAATTATTAGTTTTGGCACACAGTTTGGTTTCAACACAAATTTGACGTCGGGTCCATGGAGTTACACATTCTGTCGAGTTGCAATTTTAAATAATATCTTTTTTTGTTTACACTGCAGAAGTGGAACATAGTATTATGGGACATGTGGGATAACGAATTAGTTAGAATAATTGTGATTGTTTCAAATACCTTGTGTTTTATTATTTATTATTATTATAATTAATTAGTTGACGCCATTTTTAATACAAAAATATTTTTTGATTGAATTTTCACTTTTACGTGCAATCTTGATTGTATCTGCACTTAAAACACACCAATTTATCCAACAACTCTTTTAAATATCGGTTTTTGGCTTCAGCGGTGTTTCTAGTTACTTTACCCGCTGTTATTCAATAAAGTAGTGACAAGAGATGAAGAATAGTTATTTTTTCTTAGAATTTTTTATGAATAAACTGTAACAAACATAGAATGTACTGTCAATGTCATTTTTATTTGAAAAGCTCACAGAGATGACCAAACCGTCAGTAAAGCGAAATTATTATATTTGTGGTTCCACTTGCCTAGAGAAATATGAAGTTATCCAAAAATTTACTTTTGGAATTCAAATCAGATATGTGGGGTGGGGCTCATTATATATGGTTCCAATATGAGAACTTTTTTAAACTTCGCTGAACTGAAGAATTTTGAAAATTCAAATTTTTAGTCTACCGTATGACCTAATGGCCCGATGGAGATCCATATTATTCATTGATATTAACATATCAACAGTTGGTTATACGTACATAGTTTTCTTGAAAGACTGGACTTCTTCGTTTAGTACCTTCAATCCCAAGAAAACGTGTGGGAGCACACCTCAAGTCCTTATTTCTTTTTTTAACTTTCCTATTACGGGGACTATAGAAAATAATACATCTGTAGATGCTTTACAACCTTTTATTAAAAAACTGGCTGACATATCATACAATAAACTCTTGGTGATTTTTTTCTCTTACATCCAGGACGTTTTCAACAATTTTCATATTACCTACATTTTTCTACATTTATGTGTATACAAAGCGTTTTTATAAACATATCTAAATTTAACGATTAAAAAATCACAAAAGTTTTGGAAAGGTCTTAAAAATAACAGAAAGGGTAGGTATTCGATGTGACCTTATTTAACAGCCTTAAAGTACGGAAAGCAAATGACTCAAACGATATATTGAGCATATCCGATTATCTTCCTTCTAATCTTACCGATCAAGATGATGAAACATCCTATTTAGAAAAATCTGCCCATTCTATAACTGTCAATACTTTACCAACTCTACAATTAAATCACGGTTGGTATCTAGGAATCCATTTAGGCAAATGCACATTTTCTCGAAAACTTAAAAAGATCTGTTTGAATTTTTCTGGGAAATCTAAACTATAACTGAACAACCAGGTAATTGGTCTTTGATGCTTTGTTCAAATCAAACTGGGTATAAAATCCTATCTCTAGAATTCTTGGGTCAAGTGAGCTGTTCATTCTGTCAATATCCAATGTACTGTTTGAGTCACAAAACTAGCATAAAAATAATAACGGAATATCACGTTTTCGGGGTATCTATTTCAATCATTACGACCGTTCATTATCATTAAATGGTAACTACGCAGCATTCTGGGATGAACTGTAACAATAATTATTCACAAGAAGCAAATTAACAAATGAATGACCATTATTATCTTAGTTCTTGGGGAACATTTAGTACCTCAATCTCATCCAATCTGCAGTTACAGCTAAACGAACCTCTAATGCAGTTGAGGCAAAATGAAGTATACATATTATTGTAGAGAGCATCAAAAATTATGGGCCAAACACGTTTAAGTCTTGTACAGCTTATTTCAGTAGCAGCTAGACGTATAACAGACATTTTCTTAAAATCGCCTAGTCTTACTACAAAAATAAGATAACACACTATCTCGTATTTATGTATGTATATGTAAGTTATATCCATCATCACCCTGTATTTTATATAATATTATAATTATTATCTGGGTACTTGCATTTCTTGCTAGCATTGTCGCTACGCTATGGAATCTTATATCGCACCTTGAAGGTCACATGTTAACATCCTCTGTATCAGCATTTCTACTGCATTGTACTAAATCCATGTGTGAGGAAATCTTGTCACTTCTTGTCTAACCGTCCTGTTTTACGCATCGTCGTGACAAGGTTTCACAAAAGTCCTTTTGTACCGTTATTCGAAATAAAGTTTTTTTTAAAAACAAGTATTTCGGTAGCAGTAATTTAACTTGTATATACAAAGAAGGCAATGACCTCAAGCATATATACAAATGTTTTTCCAGGCTCCCCACGAATATATAGGTCTCTAGAGGCTGCTACTGGAGGTCGAATTTTCTTTTTAGATCGCCCAGGGTGGAATAGTTTTGAGGCAAAATTTGTATGAATGTATGTCTTTTTCATATAGTGTATAATTATGGCACAAAAAATTAATATTTTTGGAAGAAGGAGAATATTATATTTGCTTGATTTGTTATTTACGTGAGTCGTTTTTGAGAATTTTAGCTTTATTCCAATATGATATGACAGTGAGAACAGAAATATTTTCAAAATTATGGAAACAGGACACCGGATTATACAGGGTGCAAAGTTAATAGTGGATAACGGAAGTCGGGTGATAGAGGCCCCAAAACCTATCGAATGAACCGCTCTATGTGTGGTCCGAAATTTTATAGTTCAGAAGATATTTACAATTATGTGAAATTTTGAAAAAAAAACGGGATAATGAGCTTTCAATCGCTATTATAACTAAACTAAAAGATGAGACAAATGGTTTGTTCTAGCAACGTTTATGTCACTTTTTAACAAAGCTTATTAAAAATCAACGCAAAAAATCTTCAGTTAATTTTTTAGTGAAAAATCTCTTCCATCCCTCAACCTTGGAGGGCGGTATAAAAAATTGAGGTTGTATTCGATTATTCGTTTTAATGTAAAAACTATTTCAATCCATGTAGAATAAACCCTGAAAATTTCAGCTTCCTACGATGAGTATCATGTCACATTCGTTGTTGTGATGCGATAAACGTAAGAAACGCAATAGAATTCTCACCACCTACAAGTATACAACCTTTTGTGTTTAGCCGCTCTTTATGGTGATTTAAATAGAATTTCTTGTTTACACGTAAAGATACCACCTGCGTCAAACATACAGATTTTTTAAGGTGAGGAACTTATGAATTGAAATGGTTTTTGCAATAAAATGAATGCTGAAATACAACCTCAATTTTTTTTGCCGCACTCCGAAGTTGAGTGATGGAAGAGATTTTTCACAAAAAAATAAATTTAAGATTTTTTGCGTTGATTTCTAATAAGCTCTGTTAACCATTGTCAAAACTAACCAAATAGATCATCTTAGGGAACAAAGCACAGCCCTAAATCTAATGGTTTAGTTGTAATTGCGATTGAAAGTTCATTATCCCGTTTTTTCGAAATTTCACAAGATTGAAAATATCTCCTGAGCTCTGAAATTCGGACCACACATATAGGGATCTATTCGACAGGCTTTGAGGCCCTATATCACCGGACTTCCGTTGATTCACTACTAACTTTACACCCTGTATAACAGCGCTGGTATGTGCTGAAACAATAACAACAATGTTGTTTTCTATAAAAACAGATCTGTTTAATAGACGCTCAAAATTTTGTTAAATCATACACTACGATTCGACTTATTTAAGAAAAAAAGATTTTCAGTTGTGTCCGTTAGGGGTCTGTATGTCCGTGTGGGTCATTTTGTCACATGTCATTATTTTTTCCTAATACGCATCGGAGAGATTCGTATCTTATTATCGACACCCTGTGTATGAACCTTAGTGGAGCATAAGAATAATACTTTTGCCAAAAGCTGCAAGAAAAGCTTTTGTTCTCAAAATCAATAGACACGTGCGTTTCCGCTGATTATTACTGTCTTGTAGAAAACCGTTATTTAGTTAAATATTCCCTGTATAGCGTTTACATGAACTTTCCTTCTTGGTGACCATATTGCGTTTATTTGTTGCTCTATACGTTAGTATTACAGAAATTAACAAATAAGTCATTACATCCTCCTGTTGCCTACAAAAGGTGGTGAATATGTTTAAAAATGTGATTCCATCAGTTACGATTACCAAGTTTAATTTCAGCCTAACGAAATCACTTTTTCAAATGCCTCTTCAACTGCATCACACTTTGCTCACACTCTCAAGTCACAATTCACTACGCCTTCTTCCTCTTCTTGTGCTATGTACGCTGAGTGCTGATCTTCGGTTTTCTCAAGGTCTTGACAGGCTTCAAGGGATGCGAGGGGTACTTGTCCCCACCCCCGTTCGCTGCGATGTCATCACGGAAGGCCAGGAAGCCCAGCTGGGCATGTGAAGCCTCGTTCAGGGCTCGGGAGCGTATGCAAGCCCTGTATTGGTCGGCGGAGAGTTTTTGGCCGCCTGGACTTCCTGAGCACACCTGAAAAAATAAATAAATGATAAGGCGTATCCAGAATATATAAGGTCCATGGAAATAAAGTAGCATAAAGGACCAACATTGGAACCTGGGAAACGGTGAGAGATACGAAGTCGGTTGAATGAGCGAAAAAGTTGCGCATTTTGATAAGTAAGAAGATCCACCAAGAAAGATCCATATTTCAGAGTATTTACAGAGATAGACGAGAGAAACTACAATTGCTTTTATTTTTCCTGATGTTATTATAAAATGAATTGCACATTGCCATTTCTACATTTTTCGTCTGGTTCAATACGACGTTTTGTCTCTTGTCCTCAATTATCAATTTTATTCTTTTTTATCTGTGCCATATTGGATATTTGCACGAGTGAATCTAACTTTGCTTCCAGAAATATACAATATGCGATACATTAATATTAGAAAACTATAATTGAAACAGAAATTCATTCGGTGTTTACGATCTGGGCATATAATATAAAAAACAATGTAATGTTTAAAAAAGTAATAATTTCCAATAGTTGATTTTCACTCATCAAATAAGGATTTTGGGAAATTCCGAGCTCCGAAGCTTGTCCCATCTTCCTGGTTACCCAAGTGCGCAACGTAACCTGCATTTAGTTTATTTTATGCCGTTTCTGAGATCACGATAGTGAGAGGTAAATTTGAAACACGCTATATATATGCAGTACCAGAGCTTTAGTCTTAAAGGCTCTGGGGTAATGTAAAATTCGGAACCCTACGAGGAAGCCGTTCTTTATTTGAGAAAGTTGGTTTGGTAGAAGGAAGGGTTATATATTTTTTTATATCAAAGCAGCCGCGCATGCAGAAGCCTAAAAGCCTGGACCCTGCTATTGCTATAAGGAGCTAAAGAAACCCGCATGTAGATTTTACCACAATCTTGATACCCTACGAATACTGGAGCGGTCGTATCGGCCAGTTCTGGATGTGCGCAGTTTAACACGGCTAGTATGGGACGTCGAAGTCAGGCGGGGCTGTATGGCAGGTACATCACGCGGTAGTGTTGCTTCCTCACATTGACTAACTCGCAAACCTGTGGACGTTTCCCCGATACTAGTATTTGTAGAAGCCGCAATGTGGAGCAAATGGGAAGCGTGTGAATCTGGCTCAAGTGGAATATATTGAAGGTGAAAATTTGATATTCCTGACTCATCTTGTATATACAAAACCAGTTCTTCAAAACCTAAATTGAAGTACAAAAGAAAAAATTGCCTCGAGTAGGTTGACCCTGCGTTTCACACGCAACGTCATCAGTTCATAAAGGAATAAGTTCAGCACAAGTTAGAACCTCTGAGGCAAAAGTTAGTTATGGACATGTATAACAGAGAAGTTAAACAGATCAAGTCAGTCCAATGGGCCCAGACAATTAGTCCATACATATTCCTTCCTTGCCGTACAGGTAGTACCGTCCATCTGGCAACGTCGCTTCTCCCCGATACCTGATCACAAGATGCGTCAGACGCAGCGGCGCGGTTATAATGCCAGGACACTTAGGAATACCGGCACGCCCGCCGGCGAGCCTAGAGACCAGAGGCGGGATTAGTATCAAAAGCTGTTCTCTATCATTCACGTTTTAAGGTCTATACCTAAATTATGCTACTGAAACGTCAAAAACGGGGCTTAAGCGTTTTTTATATGCTTCGTTTTGACCTTTTTCTACGCCGCCACTGGATCGATTTACAAAAGCTACAAGGCCCTTGGCTTAGCAGTAACGTTGTGCAAGAATTTCATCCAAATCCGCGTAGTACTAGGTATCAAAGTTATAGACAGGCCAAGAAGTACTGGACAGACGGGCAAACCGACAGCATACAGACAGACGAAGGGCAATTGGTGACGTGGCTTTTCGTGAAGTACATGTCATATAACGCCAAAAAATTCATTCAATTCAAAATTTGTTGCGATTACAGTACTTCCTCGACAGTAGGCGTGGGAAGTAAATGAACCACAAATAAATCCATAATTTCTGAGGCTACACATCCTACCTGATACAATATCGCTCCGATTCTGCTGTGACATGTGTCTGAGAAATCACCGAGCGGAAAAAAGTAATAATAACCCCAAATCAGGCGCTGGTGCTGTGCTAGCCTCGCTATCACTACTCAACGAAGGCAAGGGCGCAGATCGCCCGATATCCTCTATCATTCGTCGCTAATAAATGGCTTCCCGGAGATAGAACAACGCCATCTTATGGCAAAAAAGGGCCTGCTGTCAGTTCCGATAACATATCGGAATCCCCATCGTAAATAGCGATATTTTACTTTATAGGACGGGTGGTGACCAATGAAAATTACGTTTTTGTGGATTTTCTTTCCATGTGTGGGGAATTATTAGGGAGGAAACATTGGACCATACACATTCGAGAGACATTCATTTACGAGCAGGGAGCTTAAGTTAGGTTATTGGAATTAGGCCCAAAAATCGCACGAAATTTTCATTGGATATTTTTTGTGGTCTAACTATTATACCATGCGTCAGTAACGCCATCTGGCACGATACTAATATTTTTCTGAATTCAATAAGCTTAAAAATAAGTATAGAGTCAGACAGCATTAGTACATAATTTTGTATGGAGGAATTTAGATCGCAGTTGCCATTTGAACTTACAAAGTTGGGTTCCAAACGACGTCTGAGATATAAATAATGGCTAAGGTTATCGTCAATCCCTTTTTTAATTTTCTAAAGCTTCTGTTTGATCTCTCATTCATAGTCATAGTCAAGTATCCGTAATGTTTATATACATTCCGGCTTTCTGGTTTGATCTACCAACTTGACCAGTTATGATTGCATGACCTAAAACGTGAACATGGATTTGTATATGGACTTTTCTCCGGTTTCGAATCTGTGCCCAAAAATGACTATTGCAGTTTGAATTCAAGCGGTTCAGCTCTTAATGGCCTTTGGCATCATTATCTAGATCAGGGCTGTCCAACTTAATGTGGCCCAAGGGCCACTTCAAAAAAATGCAGTTCGGAGGGCCGCATTATGAAATCTTTCTATACAACATTATTACAGAGTTAATGTAAGAATTGTGCATATTGGGTATTTGAGAGTAATTTATACATGTGATGCGGCCCGCTTGCCGTATGTTGGACAGCCCTGATCTAGGTCATACTGGAGCTCAACGATAGATATCTTTTTTGATCTCATGAAACCTCCACAAGAAAGTAGCAATTCATAACTGAAGAACACTTCTTTCGTTATGGAGCATTCGTGTTCCTTGCGGTCTACACAGCTTGTCATACTGATCAGAGTTTTGTGCTGATTACAAATCTTCTTTCAGAAATGGTGACATCTATTCGAATTAACAAGGCTGACCTCGAAATGACTTTTGAGACATTTTGTAGGTCATATGATAGATCTCCAATAAACTAATCTTTTGATTTGTGGGTAGCCTTTTTTAGAAAATGTGTGGTTGCCAAGGTATCGAATGGCTAGAAGGTGGTAGACAAGGACCAGTTGACCGAGGCAGTACCACCCGCTAGCTTTTCCCAGGGTGTCTTATAAATGTCTGCATGTTTCCACACCTAAGCTATGCAGTGGTGATGGATCCCTAGAGCACTAAGAATTCTGGACGTAAAGTCACTCCAATCTCGGAATGTCCAGGTGGAGGGTGGGCTCGAGGGAACAACATCGAATAGAAAATTTGTTTCACAAACATCTGCGGTATTAGCAGCAAGATTGATGCTGTTCTTCACTACCTGTAAGCCAATCGTCCCGTCATGCTTTTCTTGGCGGAGACAAAAATCTCATAGTTTTCACCGATTAATCATCTTAACTTCCCAAACTAAGAGGTGCACTCCAATCTGAGAAAGAACGGGGGAGTTGTGGCTTTTTTCCGCAGCAGTCCTTCCTGCTCCAGAGATGTTTCTTTGGAATCCAACTGGAAGGACATTCTGTGGCTGCGCCTCAACTCCAAAACATTGCCCAAGTTTATTTGCTGTGTTATCGCTCTCCCTCGGACCGGAAATGGGATGACCTACTGGAATACCTCGCCGTCAAGATCGACATCCTGAACATCAATCACTCCGCTTCAGAGGTAGTTCTTCTCGGTGATTTCAATGCCCATAATGAGCTTTGATTGGGCTCAAATTCTCGACCGATGCAACAGGTCGTGCAGTCTAAGCGTTCGCTCTTACTCAAGGGCTGATCCTGCTGGTGACCAGCCCTACTTTCTTCCCTTGCGACTCGTCACACGTCAGTAGCTTGCTGGATCTCTTTCTGACCACGCATCCTGTCCCTTACAGCACTGCTGTCCTCTCCACCCTGGGTAACCCAGATCACGGTGTTGTGGAGGATAGGTTTCGTTCAGAACCCGCTATGGCAGCAGAAACTCGTACTGGCAGCAAAACTTGGCATTACGGACATGCCGACTGGGAGGGTCTTAGAGACTTCTCTATCTTTCCTTGGAGAAATGTCTGTTTTACTGACGCGGATGCGTAGGCTGTCTGTTCTTCGATAACCGAAATTATCCACGACGGAATGCAGGAATACATCCCTCACACAGTGAAATTGCCTAAACCAGGGTCCAACGTGTGACACTGCTCGCCAACAGAAGATCAAGGCACACAGAACCTTCTTACAAAACCTCACTGTAGAGAACAGACAATGCGACGGCGAGTCCAGAAACAAATATAACGAAGCGGTTCGCAATTTGGTCTTTCTGGATGCTGGCCAAGCAGATTGAAAAGAACTTCTCACACACTAGCCTCCCACCACTTACGTGTCAGGATGGAACGATTGTATTCGACTCAAAGGTCAAGGCGGAAGTGCTACCTAAGATCTTTGCTGCCAACTCCACCATGGACGTCGCCCCCAACGCCCAAGTGCCGTCAATTCAAAGGGTTCCCTACACCATGCGGGAGGTAACATTCAGGCATAAGACCGTAAGACGAGTGCTCTTGTCGCTCGACATCAACAAAGCTTCTGGTCCGGACTTGATTCCTGCCATTGTACTGAGGAGGTGTGCAGCGGAGCTTGCTCCTGTTCTCTCGCGTCTTTTCCATATATCTTATGAATCTGGCACCTTCCCAGAAAACTGGAAATTTGCTCATGTCCAACCCTTCCTAAAAAAAAGGATCTAAGACCGACCCTTACAATTACAGGCCTATAGCTCTGCTTCCTGTTATAAGTAAGGTGATAGAGAGGTGCATAAATTGCGAGTTTCTGGACTACCTCGAACGTCACAGCTTGATTAGCGACAGGCAGTATGGTTTCCGGCACCAACGATCCACAGTGGACCTCCTAGCTTACGTCACGCAACTGTATAGTAAACTCATCCAGTCTTATGGTGAAGCCCATATCGTTGCTCTTGACATCACAAAAGCATTCGATAAGCTGTGGCTCGCTGCCCTCTTAAGCAAACTTCCATCCTATGGTCTCCCAGAAAAGCTTTGCAGATTGAGGCTGACTATATCTCTGGCCGCAAGATATCCGTTGTAACTGAGGGGTTCTCCTCTTCATCCCACAACGTCAACGCGGGTGTACCCCAGGGATCAGTCTTGGCTCCGACACTGCTCCTCTTACATATCAACGACTTCCCTTTCTGTACGATCAGACCAATCCACAGATTCGCTGATGACAGCACTCTACATGCAGGAATTAAGGGTGACAAGCCGATCTCTGCCAGTGAGCTGGAAAAACGAAGGCTAGCGACGACATCCTCTCTTAAAAGAGACCTGGAGGCTATCACTGCTTGAGGACGCAACAATCTTGTACAGTTCAATGCTTCCAAAAGACAGTAGCGCTCAGCCGGTTTAGATGGACGGTCGAGTTCTGTCAAAGAGCCATTCATTTCGGCTGGTCGGAGTCCAGCTCACCGAGAACCGAATCTGGCACGCACACATCTCGCTACTTGTTTACTCTTTCCTCCGCATGACCTCACTCTATACAAGGCCCAGATATGGCCTAGCCTCGAGTGTTTGGGGTGCTGCCGCCCCGACTACATTATCCATGCATCCATGCTCGATGCTGTCCAGAGGAGGGCGGTTCGACTGATCGATGACTCTTCTCTAACAGTCTCGGAACTGTTTCGCGCCGGAGGGGCGTCGGCGATCTAGCTCTTTTCTACCGCTACACCAACGGGCTTTGCTCCTCAGAGCTTTTTTCCAGGATGCCGTCGTGCGATGTGCCTGCCCGACACACCCGCCTGACTTTGGCCTCCCATCCTAACCGTGTCGAGCTTCGTATATCCAGAACTGGGCGATACGACCACTCCTTTGTCCCGAGGGTGTCGAGACTCTGGAATAATCTACAAGAGGAAGCTTTTTCCAGTTCTACTAGCCTTAGGCAGTTCAAAAATCATATTTACAAAATTTCTTTGGGATCATCATAGCAGCCGCGGTGTTCCGGCATTTAGTCTTCTGCCTGCGAGGCTGCTTCGATATATGAAAAATAAAATACCTTATAGGATGAACCAGATGAAATAGCTGCAAATGGCTACATTTGAACTTGTTTGAAAATCGAACGAATTTTCATTCACAGTTAGTGAAAATAGTTCTGATGTACCATTGGACGTGCGGAGGTACGCAACAAGCCAGATGCGAAATGCATAGGTAGATGGCGCACCAATGGGCATGTTGCTTACCATCTCTGTAACCTCGACCAACCGCATATGGCGCTATTTTGTGCCCACTAGAAACTCATCCGTGCGGTATAGGTTTAGTAATCCTGGAGGCAGATGAACGGAAAGCAAATAAGCAGGTTTGGTTGTTTGAAAAACTCAAAATACTGTGCGAAAGCAGGCCAACAAATCTGAGGATCTCTACATATCAATGCGCAATGTATACGTATAGATAAACGTCGCACGACCAACACACTTGAATATTAACAGTTGCTCTATTGCCAACTGTAGAAAAGTATCACTATTGTGTATCGCTGGGATATCAGTCTAAGGTGATTCAGAATTTTAAAGTGCACATCAAGGGAGAGGATCAGTAACGACTTCCTCACTGTCGAGAATTTAATGCTTCCAAAACACAGTACTGCAACTCAACTAAGCGGGAAAGTTAAATAATTTCTGAGAATTCTCTTAGCTATTTTGTTATATATTTAGCAAAATTCTGTGGTATAATATATGGGTGTCCTGTAACCAATTTTTTATAAAACAGGTTTATCTGTCACATTGTACGCAATCCTCAAATTTAATGTAACTGCATGCGTCACAACTATTTCAATGTACTGTACCTGTGCTAAACGTAAGTTGCGATGTTTTAGATGGTCTAGTGGGAATTTTCGCTAGCGGCCAAACCTAGCCCGAAGCTACGAACAAACGTGTCCGTTGATGGAATTTTGAGCGGCCTGAATCCCTTCGGCATTGGCCGGAGGAGACCCGCACAACTTTGTTGCTTGCGATGTACAAAAATTTACTGATTCTCAGCAAAGAGAAAGTTGTTGATGAAGTTTTGCAGAGGTGCTGTCCCTTTCGTATATTTTCACTAACTTAACTAAACTCATCAGATGTATTAATAAAGAAACTTATTTAATTACTTATCTGTACTCAAAAAGATATCTACTTAGTTTTCCTCAGGTTCTTTATAATTTCGCTGACCGTTACTTAGTAATAAGTACATGAGTAGGCATTGCTAGTTTCAATCTCCTTGCATTTATTTGCGGAACTCTTTCTTTTGACATTGGTCTAGCTTCATCAATCTAAATAAAATCTATAAGCAAATATTCTAGATCTGAACAGAAGCCTTTGCTAAATCTTTTTTCCAGTTCAGGAGGCAATAAAAACTGTGTCACTGACAAATTAACCAGTTTTCCTTAAAACTTTTTTAGGCTTGACGTAGTGTTTGAGTACAAGATTGAAATTTTGAATAACCTGCACAGTATGTTAATAATAATAACGGAAAAAGAAATAGACTTACGTTGCTTTTATACGAAATAAAGTTAGTGGTATATAGCTTGAACAAGTGAATCATGTTAATCATATTTTCCTTTGTTTATGTCTAAAAATTAATAAAGTGTTTTCGTTTTGCACGTTTTAATATTTTTAAAGCACATGTGGGAAACCCGGGCAAAAGCGAACACCTGTGAAAGCCGAATTTTCCGTTTTACATCCTAACCATGAATTGGCCATCGTG